AATTCTATACAATCACTAATGTTCTCTAATAGATTGTAGTTTTTCCTTTTAAATCGTTGTCTTAGTGATCTTTTTGTATTTTTCTTTTCTATATTGGTGATTACTGCTGCACTATCTGTAAATATTCTAACTGTTCTCTTTTTTGGTATTATAAGTAGCACAAACCATATTGCAAGCAATTTTGGTTTTGTTGATGATGGCCAATTTCTTACTCTAAAACATCCTTCCTCAAGGACTTTTTCTTCTTTTTCATTTACTTGAACCCAGTCTGCACCAATGCGATCTGGAACTTGCTTCATAATTTTTGTTCTTTTAAAAAAATTTATATACTAATTTACATTTTGAAAATTAAAATTTTAAGAAATAATCTGTATGTGTTAAACAATCATGTATTGGAGTATTAATTAAAAATTGAGTAGTGATGATGCATAAGATCGATGCATAATATGATGTAATAAATAGTCAAAATAAAATGTATTATAAAAAAAAAATCATAATTTTATACTTTTTGTTCTTATTTTTGTTAAGTATATTAAATAATATGGAACCTGAATATATCTACTAAACCTTTACATCTTATATAAATATATATGTTATAGAGTCAAATTGTGTTTTTGAAACTTATAAAAATCATGTAGATAATAGTACTGTGGGATGTTACAAAGTTAGATAAAGTTTTTCAAAATTTTAACAATAATACTATAAATACTATGAAGTCAAATTACATTTTTAAAACCTTTACTAATAGTATTATGGAGTTTGATTATATTTTTGGAACTTCTAATAATAGTACTACAGACATTATAGAGTCAGACAGTGTTTTTAAACTTTTTAAAAATAGTATCATAGATGTTATAGAGTTAGACCATGTTTCTGTTATTTCTAATTATACTATGAATATTATAAAATCAGATCATATGTTTGTTACTTCTAATAAAAATACTATAAACATTACAGAGTTAAATCATGCTTTGTAATTTCTAATAAATATACTATGGACATCACAAAATCAAATCGTGTCTTTGAAACTTTTAATAATAGTATTAGGTATATTACAGAGTTAGAAAATGGTTTTAAACCCTTTGATGAAGTTCTTGTAGATAATAATATTGTAGAATCAGGATGCATTTTTACAACTTTTGATAAGGCTTGTGCAACTATTGAGAGATATGCTGCACAAACAAATACTGTTATAATTTTAGGCAAAACAATATAGAATTCAAATTATAGTAGCTATAGACAAGCACTATTTGTATGTGAAAAGCAAGAAAAATACAATAGAACAAATAAAATGCATATGACAAAGCATATTGGATGTTCTTTTGCAATCATTATAAATTATCACAAATATTCTCAATAATTCATTATAACTAAGTTAGTTTTAAAGCATATTCATGATCCCTATTTGAATGCTGTAAAATTTAGCACTATTATATATAAATTGAACAAAGATGATCTTGGGTTGATTGAAAAACTTCATGATAATGATCTTAGGACAAAGAATATATTCATTGTACTTAACTCAGTTAGTTGTAAATATACTCACAAACCTGATATTTATAATGTCATGAGTCGACATCGCCAGTGCAAACTTCAAGGTTTAAGTGAATTAAAATGCTCTTTAAGATGTTATATGATAATAAGAACATTGTAAGGTATGCAGTATTAAAAGAAGCATATAATACTAAATAATATCAAGATGGAGAATTTGTTTAAGGAATTTTTTGGGCTTACCATAGTGCATTTTCTGAATTTGCAATAGTCAAGGATGTTCTAATTATCAATGCAACTTATAAGACTAATAGATTTTCTATACTGCTAATAGTTATCTGTAGTATAAACTGACTTGGATGCATATACCTATTAGCTTTTGCCCTTGTTTACTCTGAAATAACAGACTTTTACTGCTGAGCAATGCAGCAATTGAATAAGATATTAATTGAATTAACTAGTAAATTATTTATTACTTTTTTATTTATTTTATTTTTTGTTTTATTTTTTTTACTTGTGTATTTTTTTTATTTATTTTACTAAGCTATTTTCTAATCTTTATAATATTTTTTATCAGGTAATACACAAGTAGTGACAATAATAACAGATCATGAGTTAGCACTCATGGCAGCAATTTCCAATATATTCTCTTACACATGACATTAGTTGTATATTTGGCATATTTTCAAGAATATTAGAAGCAAGCTTAAAAAGCAAGTTGATATAGATGAATTTATTAAAGCTATTTAGAGGTTTGCATATAATGATAAGCTAGAAATTTGTTAAGTTGATCAAGAGCTTGCAGCATTATTAAAATGATTTCTGGAAGCAAAAACATATATATGTAAAACTTAGATAGCATATAAGAATAGCTGGTTTGCACTATATACAAAATGCAATATAAATCTTAATATTAAATTAAGCCAGCATGTAAAAAGCTTGCATAACAAACTTAAAAAAGTTAAAAATTAGATTATTCCAGTTGACAGGTTAGTATCAGATTTATATATTATTTGATTTTTTTCAAGTAGTTATTTTCATTTAAATTATTTAAATTTTATTATAAAATTTTATTTATTTAGATTACTTACAATTCTTTGATAACAATTATAAGAAAATTCTTAAAAGCTTGCTTATGAAACTTTTTTGCATCAAACCAAGCATATAAATGATAGTATAGATTTGGGTTTGAAAAATTTGAGATTAGTTTAATTACAATTTGTATTCGAATTATTCATGAAACCAGAGTATTATTATAGAACGATTTATTATTATTTTATTATTAGTTATTATTATTATTATTATATTATTATTATTATATTATTATTAT